CCGGTGTCACGTCGGTGTCTTGATGAAGATGATGATTATGATGATGATGATGATGATGGTGATGATGATGATGATGATGATGATGATGATAATGATGATGATGATGATGATGATGATGATGATGATGTTGATGATGATGATGGTGATGATGGTGATGATGATGATGGTGGCCCGATGATGATGATGATGATGATGATGATGATGCTGATGTTGACGATGTTGATGATGATGATGGTGATGATGATGGCCATGGTGGTGATTATGATGGTGTCCCGATGATGATGCTGATGTTGATGATGCTGATGTTGCTGATGATGATGGTGTCCCAATGATGTTGATGTCGATGGTCATAATGATGTTGATGATGATGAGATGATGAGATGATGCTGATGATGATGAAGATGCTGATGATGATGGTGTCCCGACGATGATGGTGATGATGAGGTTGATGATGATGGTGATGATAATGATGGTGGTGTCCCGCCGGTGTCCCGATGATATTGATGATGATGATGTCGATGATGTTGATGGTGATGATGATGTTGATGGTGGTGATGATGATGGTGTCCCGATGATGATGATTTTGACGATGTTGATGGTGATGATGATGGCCATGGTGATGATGGTGATGGGGTCCCGATGATGATGATGATGATGATGATGATGATGATGATGATGATGATGTTGATGATGCTGATGCTGCTGATGATGATGGTGTCCCGATGATGTTGATGATGTTGATGATCCTGATGATGTTGATGATGATGAGATGATGAGATGATGATGCCGATGATGATGAAGATGATGATGATGGTGTCCCGATGATGATGATGATGTTGATGATGCTGATGGTGGTGTCCCGATGATGATGGTGAAGTTGATGATGAGGAGGATGATGAGGTGATAATGATTTTGATGCTGGTGACCCGATGATGATGATGCTGGTGTTGATGATGATTGTGGTGTCCCGATGATGATGATGATGATGCTGATGATGATGATGATGATGATGGTGATGGTGATGGTGATGGTGATGATGGTGACGATGATGATGGTGTCCCGGTGATGATGATGATGTTGATACTGATGATGTTGTTGATGATGATGGTGATGGTGTCCCGATGATGGTGATGATGATGATGTTGATGAGGTTGTTCATGATGATGGTGATGATGAGATGATGTTGATGATGATGATTGTGTTCCGATGCTGATGATGATGATGGTGTCCCGATGATGATGATGATGTTGATGATGATGATGATGATGGTGACGACGATGATGTTCCGATGGTGATGATGATGCCGATACTGTTATTGATGATGATGGTGATTAGGTGATGATGATAAGGATGATGGTGTCCCGATGATGCTGATGATGCTGTTGATGACGTTGATGACGATGAGTTTGATGATGATGACGTTGACTGTGAGATCGTTTGTGATATCGATAGTGAGACCGATGGTGAGACCGAATGTGGGATAGTTTGTGAGATCGATACTGGGATCGATTGTGAGATCGATAGTCAGATCGATTGTGAGATCGATCGAATGACATAGATCGAGTGAGATCGATTGTGAGATCTATCGGGTGAGATCGATCTAGCGAGACCGATAGTGAGATCGGTAGTGGGATCGATAGTGAGACCGACCGGGTGAGACGTTGGTTCCTCCCCCCCCCCGAAATTCCTTATCACCCGAAGGGTGGTCGTAGAGGTACAACATAGATGCGCCACCATCCACATCAGCTTGGGTCTAGAACGGCATCTGTGAGTCGCACCGCATCTGTGAGTCGCACGACACTGTGAGTCGCACTGCACGTCATCATCACCATCAATCTTGTTGGTCTTCTGCTTCGGCGGTGAGATCGGGTCACTCGCGGCGCTCTTGACACAAGGCTTGGACTTCGACTCGTGGTAATTATCAGTCACTGCCTTGAGGTCTGCGTTCTCGGACGCCACGGTGGCCAATATCTCCTCCACGCGTTGGGCCATGACGTGCGTCGGTTGCGCAGTCGAACATACACTGTGAGCTGTGGCCACGGAGGTTTTCAGGTCGTCGATCGCGTCGATCAGCGAGTTGGTGTACTTCCCAGGTTCGACCGTCCATGTAGAAATGACAGTGCCGATGTTCTCGAGAGAGACCTTGGAGTCACTGATGGAGTGCTGCAGCGCGCTGCTCTCGAACATGTCGTGGCCGTTCTCGGCTGCTGGCTGGCTGTCGTCGTCGTCGATCTGGATTGCGGACCTTTGGACGCGCTGCCCCTTGAGAGATCGCAAACACTGGAGTGGAGAACCATGGGGGGAGTTGAAGTGCTTGATCACTTCGATTTGAAACAAAATCTAGGCTGCGCAGCTGGAGGTGGATAAACATAGGGAGACTTGAACGAAGCTCCCCCCATCGGGGCCAGCTCCCTCGACACATTCCTGGTCATGTTTCGGGGGCAAGCGTTGCTCGTCGACAGACGGGTCGTTTCAGGAGGCAGCCGAGAAGCAAGAGTGTGATGTTTTATCGCAGGCATTGTGCCTTGTCGAAAGCTTCACCCCAGGGAGAGAAAGCGGCCAGGAAAGCTGACAGCCCGACTTTGGGCAGCGTCAGATCGTGCAACCAAGCCCAAGATCGCCACGCCGACCTCGCGGTGGCCTCACCAGGTGGCAACGGCCACCATGCCCCAGGGAACCCTTACAAAACCAGCCAAACCTACCAGCAGCGGGCACACGACCACGCGGACAGCTTACATTCGAGAGCCCTTGGGGATGAGGAAACGCGACGCGGAAGACGGTAAACGTGATGACCAGGATGAGGACGATGAGGCAGATGAGAAGGATGCGGATGAGGAGGGGAAGAACAGAGGTGAAGGCGGAATGCAACAAGAAACCGATGAGGTAGGATGGGCTAGAGCTCCTGCGGTGCACCCTGCGTCGGCGCAGTCGTGGTCGGTTCTGCGGCGCCATCCGCATTCAGGCTGTATGGTACCCCCTGGAATGGGCGACACTCTGACATGTAAACGTACCGAATGCCGAGCTCGTGGGAAGCACTAGCAAGTGTACTTAGCTTGGGCCCATGCTTACAGACAGCGAACCACTAATCAAACGTGAGGTCCAAACCCAGAACCACGAGGACCACGCGGCACCGCGCTCGAGGAGGACCCACCGCCACCATCGATGAGCCTGATGAAGAGGATGAGGGGACGGATGGCGTGGCGGTGGAGGGTGAAGGCAACGCCAGACGAGAGAGCACCACGCGGCACCACTGGGCGTGTAACCAACCGATCTTGGACCACCATTTTCAGATGTGTTGTTTGCCAGGGCTTGCCAGTGTAAGCTATCCCGCACGTTGACGCTGTTACAGTCTACTCCTTCCCCCCCTCTCCCTATCTCTCGCTCTCTATTTCTACACGCTGGTCCTCGAGTATGCTCTCCATTCTGTTTCAACGTCCCCCGAACAAAGGGGCTATAGTGTATTGTACTCCACTCCACCCTACTTGTTTTACGTTATTCAGTGCCATAGGTTCTCTGCGTTATTTTTACCCTGCTCCTACTCTGTCAGGCCCTACTCTACGTCTAGCCCCGTGTCTACGCGTATTTCTGCTCGTGGTTTTCTGGGGACGGGGTCGAGAGCTCCGAGTTGGCAGACGGCTGGAGGGGATGAGATCGAGAGCTCCTGTGGCTGGGGACGGGGCCGAAAGCTCATGCGACCGGTGGCGAGGCATCCTGAGCACGGGGGTCGAGAGCTCCTGTGGATGGGATCGAAGGGGTGAGGATGCTGATGGTGCGCATGCCGATGGAGATGGTACGTGCAAGCGTTGGCGATGGCGATGAGTTGGTTTGTTTTCTAGGGCGCGCGGCCGCTCGCACGCTGGCCTGTATACCCACGGCCAGCCAGGGGAACAGAGCAGGCCTGCGACTGAGCCAGGCCGTCAACGTCATCGGGGAGAGACCCCTCCTCGAGCAGCTTCTTGCATTCCTGGATCTTGGCCCTGCCCGCAATGCCTGCAATTTTGCTGGCCTCCTCCTTGCTCATCTCCATCTTGAGGCAACGTTTTTCTTCTGCGTGGTAGGCGCAACTGTGCAGGCGCTTACGCCAGACCACGAACGGCACCTTGTCCGATTTGGTGGTCTTGGGCATCAGCTTGTTGGGCTCCTTGGGCTTGGAGTCCTTCATGGCTTTCATCGCCTTCATGGGCTTGGAGTTCTTCATGCACTTCATCGCCTTCGTGAGCTTGGAGGCCTTCATATCCTTGTTCAGCGTGGCGAGTGCTGCTGGGGCAACTGCTTGCGAGGGTGGCTCCTTCAGCAACGTCATGTCGGCCAGCGGTACGCCTCCTAGTGCAGGTGCCCAACTTGGGTCGGACGACTTGGGGCTGATCTTCTTCCTCTTCATGTGCGTCTGGCTCCCGAATGCAACATCCAAGATCTCCTTCAGCTCAGGGTTAGAGCTCGCACGAAGTTGAAAGACATCGATCGCTGGGGACCTCAACGTACGGCGCAGGCGTACGGGGTGGAGTCCCAAGCACAATGAGGTCGGATTCGACATCATCGGCGACGATGGCGTCGGTCTCACCCATTTCACCAAGCCCAACAGCAGAGAGAACTCTTCCCGGCACTGTCGAGGCACCTGCCTATCTTTGTTGACCATGTTGCACATCTGAGAAACGATTGCCCTGAAGAGCAGGATGCCCGTCTCCAGAAGAGCAGTGTCGATGCCGAGACCCTTGTCACGATTGAATTTCTAGGCGGCGTTGCAGAGAGATGCTTTTTTGACGTTCATACCTCCAGATTTCTGGAGCAGCAATGTTAGAGTAGGACGGAACGGATTTGCTGTTTTCCATTTGACAGCTCCTTTGAATTTGAACGAGGTAGATGGAATGAAAGCATCCTTTTTCTTGGCTGTGACGGCAAGAGGCTCAATATTTAGATGTACTCATCTTCTGTAAGGTCGACTGACTGTCTCCGATGTGTTTTGCCATGCACAGATGATCAAAGTTGGACCTGCAGCTCAAATGGCTATGGGGACAGGGGACGACATGCTGATGACGATGTTGGTGGCGAGAACGGTTGTGATGATTGGGATGTTGACGATGATGGTGGTGAGGGTGGCCATGAGGATGTTGAGGATGATGAGGTTGATGACGATGGTTTTGGTGGTGATGATGTGCGTGATGAATACAACACAGAAGTATACATGTCAACACATGTGCACTTATGATACACATCATCGCACTACGTATTTTGACCATGTGATTGATCAACTAAGCCGGTTGTGCCTGATTTGTTGTCACACGTGAAAATTGGTGAAGGTCTACGTTTTGTCGCCCCTAAGATGTGAGGCCAGTCTAGAAGGCCGAAATCGGGACCAGAGGCGTCAATTCTTCAATATTGTAGCTGCTCTTCCTTTAAAGGTTCCTTTTTGAAGTGTTTGGTATCGTTTCGTCTTTTATTGGGGAAACGATCCCAAGAATTGGGGTGACCACCCTAATTCTGCCGACGCTGCGCTTACTTTTACACGCATGCGCCTATCTTATGACACGTTGGGCGCTCGGGGTAAAGCGTGGTGGTTTGTTCACAGCTTCGGGTCTCTGAGTTCCAAGTTGGGCTTGGACGGCGTTTCCAGCGATTTTGGGCCCAGGACTCGTTTGTCCAGGATCGGCGTACCGCAGCTCCGTGCCGTCTCTGCGCGGCGGCGGTGCGTGCGCAGGCGTTCAAGACTGGAGGCCGTGCCGGCCGAGCGAGAGCCGTGGGTGCCTGCGCGGCTCACGCGGTGGCAGACGCCCACCACGGCCCACGCCTTTCGTGCCGTCGAGTTGGCGCCGCGCCTGTCGCGCGCCGCCGCCGCCGCCACCGCCGCCGTGGTCGTCGTCGTCGTCGTCGTCATCGGCGTCGTCGTGGTCGTGGTCGTGGTCGTGGTCGTCGTCGTCGTCGTCGTCGTCGTCGTCGTCGTCGTCGTCGTCGCCCTAGGCGCAGGCCTGGCCAGCAGCGCACCGCCCGCGGCCGAGACCCGACGCGCCCGAGACGCTGCCGGCCAGGCCCTCGTCGGTGGGCGCGTTGCACGGCCGGGCGGCCCAGGGGCGCGGGCCGCGGCAGAGCTCCGCGGTGGGCGGCGGCGCCCCGGGCCCACCAGAGGCCCCGTGGCAGGGCCTGAGGCGGGCCCTGAGCCACGCGCGGCCGGAGGTCGGCGACGACAAAGGGTGTGGTTGCGCCGGGTTCTGGTTTGCGATCTGTGTCGTCGGGGTTTGGGGTGCACCACGATACCCCCTCGTCGGGCCTCCTCGTCCCTGGGTTGCAAGCCGCACCCTTCGCAAACCACATCCTTCGGTCGGAGTCGCGGAGGAGTGGAGCCGCGGCGCCGTCGGGGAGCCCTCGCAGCGGGGACGGAAGGCCCACCTGGGGCTCGAGGCGTGGCGCAGTGGCGCGCCGGAGGAGGCCGAGCCCTGGGGCTTAGCCCAGGCGCGGGGGGAGCCGCCGGTGCGCGGGCCGCCAGGCAACCGCACCGGCGGCAGCGCGAGTCCGAGGGGAGGCGCGCCGCTGCCCGCCTCGGGGGGGCCAGTGCTGGACCTGCTCGGGAGGCGCCGCGGCAAGGAGCGCGCCGCGCTGCCCCGGGTGGCGTCGACGCCGCAGCAGCCCGCCGCGCCCAGCCTCGCTGGCAGCCCGCAGAGCACGTGCTCGTGGCCCCTGTCCACGTGGTCCCAGGGCTCGACGCGCCGAGGGGCTGCCCGAGAGGAGGCGGAGGACTGTGCCGCGGGTCCGTTCGGCCGCCAGGTGTCTGCTGCGACCAGCACTGCTGCCAGCTCGAAGGAGGCTTGCGAGGAGCCCCCCCTCGCTGGGCCGCTGGCGCAGGCGCCGGCGCGGGGCGCCCACCCCGGCGCAGCCCCAGACCCACAGGCGCAGGCGGTGAAGGAGATCTGCCGGCTCCGGCGGGAGACCATGATCCCGCTGGAGACCATGCAGGCCGCGATGAGGCTGTTCCGGGAGCACGCGACGGTCCCTGCAGACGGCGTGCTCTTCACTGACGGGTTCCTGCCGAGAGAGAGCCTCGAGGGCGTCATGAAGCAGCTGGCGGGTTCTGACAGTGCCTTCAGCCGCCTGGCGGGCAGGGACAAGGGTGGTTGCGTCAACTTTCGGGAGTTTGCAATCTGGTTCTCGAGCCACAGTTTCGATGAACCCGTGGTGCTGGATGCCAGTAAGCTGGAGCTTCGCCAGCTGTCCCGGGAGCTCAACATGTCTGCGTCCGAGGTCGAGACGTACAAGAGGCACTTTGACTCATTCGACACCGACGGGAACGGCAGGATCGACAGGCATGAGTTCTACGAGATGATAGTGAAGTGCCTCAAGGTCCCTAAGCACATCGGTCTTCCTGCTGGCCGATTGCAGCAGTTATGGGCCGCTGCCGATTCGGACGGCAGCGGGGTTATCAATTTCGCTGAGTTCGCCGTCTTTTTTTCCAAGTACTTCCCAGACGCTGGGTCCTGCGGCATGAGCCAGTACTATTCCCAAAATGGCTTGCTGAACCGCCTTCATGGGCCGCGCAATGCCTGGTGATGCACGGACTTGGCCGCCTGTCAGTGGAAATGGAGCCATGGGTCATTGATTTCTTAGGAGGTCTCCTGTAATTCTAGGCCGGTTGCAGAGGTGCATGGGCGCGCCCGGGTCGACAAGACATTCATGACCTCATCCATGCCCATGCCAATCTGCGGCCCCTCCCTTCCCTTCCTCCCTCCGACTCCCCGTGGCCTCGCTGTGCGGCCCCCACCTCGGCCCTGCATGAGGCGCCCGACTCCGCCTGCCCAGCCCCAGCCCTCTCAGGACTGCGTGTCCGGGGTCTGCCCGCCACTTGTCCCGATGCCTGTTTCCGCGTGAGGCGCAGATATTTCAAACGTTTTGATCATAGGCCCTGCAGACACGCATCCCCTAGGTCGGTCGTACTTCAGGCCGTGTTTGAAGCAGGGGTTGGACTGCCCAGTGTGCGACTGCCCGGCCGGTCAACTATCCAGCTGCCTGCGGCAAGCCCCGCCACCGCGTCAGCGCACCAGCGCAGCAGGAAGGAGGTCTAGTATAAGACCCGCTCCAGGTCAGTTCCCTGTCTGACTGTCCGAATCGGACGGGTCTTGAACCCGTCGTCCTTGTCCGCTGCCTCATTTTCCTTGTCTTTCTTCCTTCCCCCTCCCCCTCCCCCTCCGTGCTGCGTTGGGCGGACTGTAAGGGCTACATTTGTAAGTGCTAAAATAATGTGTAGCGATCTGACTTAGAGCCGGCGGCAACACGTTAAGGCTGCGGGTCAGTGCGGCAAGACGTGAGCATCATAGGGTTCGTAAACATAGACGTGCTCGTGAGGGCGCAGAGTAATTGAGCGAGCAGCCAGAGAGGGAGAGGAGGAAATACCAATACGATGTTGACCTGATATGCCAAAAAAGGGGGCAGCAATCGAACCGAGCGAGCGAAATATACTCATGCAGGTACGTGCGGGCAGGTGGCGCTCAGGGCGAACGGTGTGCCAGTTGGCCCGGGCACGATGTGTTGCGTATCCTTTTGGCCGCAGGCCCAGCGGGCACTGGGCCGCCGTGTGATCATAGCACCTCAATCATTAGTGCCACTGCCAGTGGAACTGTACTCGTGGCGGCGAGGACGCGTGAGCGGAGCAAGGGTATGTTTGTCTGCCGCGGGCCACGGCCATCATTCTACATGATGTTGCGGGCGGCAGCACGCGGCGGTAATAGGCGGTCATATGCGGTAATAGCCTTTAAGGGTTTCCGAAAGGCTTCCCAGCATCGGGCACGTAACACTGGGCGGTTTGATTACGGGGCTGGCCGTGGGCTGGCACAGACAGTACTGGCAGGCTTGCTGGGCTCTCGGCAGTGCGAGTGAAATGCAGGTGTGCGAGTCTGATTCGAGGCGAGGCTGGCACAGTTTGGCTGGCCTGTGTGTCTTTGTTGCACCCTGGATGCAGATACGTAGCGTTGAAGCGAAAGGGCAGAAGCTTCCCTCCTACACCCAATGCTCTACCTCCCTCAAGAACACCCCCCAGCCGTAATCTGAAAGTCTAGCAAGGCTAATGTAGTCGGTAGTTGCTTGCTGCAAGAGCTGAAGTGCATGGGCAGGCCTGAAAAGTGGTGCAGGGCGGCAGTGAACAGGCGGTTAAAGGCAAGGCAGTAAAACGCGAGGCGGCAGACCACAGAGGGGAGCATAAGGCTCCCACTGCCGAGGCGCGTGCTTTCATACCTCCCGGCGCCCTCCAGTCCAACTAAACCCCCTTTCTTCCCCAAGACAGTCAGCGTGCGCATCACGGTGGGGAGTAATGGCAACAATAATTTAAGTGAAGCGTAGCCTAGTGGGAGTGGGTGGGGAGGAGACCATGTGTATCGTCGTAGTATGCAGTAATCTCGACCCTGTAGCTTATGGAAACACGACGGGGAGCCTCGAAAGGCCGCGAGAGTTGCTACTGAGGCGGCCGGGGCAGGTGATCAAAGGTGTAAAATAAAGTAGCGTAGCGACGTATCGAACGGCTGGCACATTCGGTACTGGCTGGCCATGGTTGCTGCCGTGTGTGCCCAGCGCCCACCCTGTGACCGCTGGATCCGCATGCTCCCCTCATATCCGTCACGACTCAAAGGCAATGTGTACACGCTGGTAATGTCTGTTTTCAAGTCAGGCCGGCCTAGGGGGCTGGCCTCTCGCAGTAAAATAGCGTTCGTAAGTTCTGCTACTGGCATACTTGCTGTAGTTGGCGATGATGCCTGGGCTGTAGTTGGCGATGATGCCTGGGCTTTTACAATCATGCAAATCACCAGGCATAACTCCACGCGTAGTGATAATTATTTGCACGCCATAGCACAACCGCCTAATTCCTTGGTTCGCCAGAGCGTGGAAAGCGGGCAGTAGGCAAGGTGAGGAACGGAAACGGGTGTGAAGACGGGATTTGTGGAGCGTGTAATAGCTTACGTGCCTCGGTACAGTGAGCGATGATCCTGGGCTTGCACACTTTGTGTACTCCTGAGGTGTTCCGATAGACTCCCGTTCCAGAAAGTAGATTTGGCAAACAGGAAGCAAGCGTTGAGTATGTCGTCATTGATCCCGCCACCCCAGCGCATTCATGTCAAATCCCACCTCACAAATAAAAGGTCGAGAGTAAGTTGGCAACAGTGGCATCAGGCACAGTACATATGGCACGGGTTTATGGGCCCCCCAGGGTATGAGGAGGGCCCATGAGCAGATACCCGTACAGCCTTGCGAGGGAGGCGGCAGAGTCTGTATTTCAATTGTAGTGACCACGCGAATGAAATGCAGAGGACCCGAATCGGGGAGGAGCACACATGTGCAGGCACCTGGGGGGATTGGGACACCTAAGGCCGTCGTCCATGTGGCCATAGCAGCATTTGGAGTAGCAAATGCCGATAACACGAGGTAGACAATTCGAGTGTCTGCTGTGTTCCTCAGGTGCAGAGAATGCGATTTGAGTACGTAGCGTAGCTCTTTTCGAAGATGGGACGTCGGCGACAGGTGGAGTCACAACATTATATACCCAGTGTGGTGCCTGTCCTGGATTCGGTAGTGCTTTTGTCGGTAGCAAGCTCTCGCGGAGTCGGTTGTGAGTCAGTTGGTCGATTTGGTATTGGGTGTAGTCGTGTTGACACGCACGAGCCTTATCGAGGTAGTCTGTCATGTAGGCTCGTCGTAGTTCTTGACGTTGTGTGCCAATGGGTCGTTATATGGCGAGGGTGTTGCGCCAGCTTGCCCGTCCTCGAGTAACAGTGTTGCCTTTGGATAGAAACAAGGCGTCGATAGTTGCTTGTGTTTGTAGCGTCATTTGTGATATTGGCGTGTCTGCTAGCCCATCGTACGTGACTGTCGAAGTGCCTTGAGGGGGGACAGACGATCAGTATCGTTAGTCTGGGCGGTGGAAGTTGCGTGGTGGAATTGATCGTTGCTGGGCAGTTATGTGGGTTTGTGGTGCCGCAGTGTAGCCCGTGGTTGTAGAGTAATGCTGACTTGGAATTGGTGTTGGTGATGTTCATTCACTGAGTTGCGGCGATGTCGCGGTAGGTGGTGGTGCGTGTGTGGGCAGCGGTTAGGTCGTGTTGTTTGTGATTGTAGCGGTAGGGTTGCTAGAGTCTGTAGATGTTGTTGTTGTTTGTGTTGACGACAGTTCGTATGCGGCCTCGTGTTACACTTCGTGTGGGCAGCATATTCTCGTGAGTATGTCAGTTTCCGTTGGTAGGTCGTCTGCGCAAGTCATACCAGTGGTTCTGTAAAGCCATTACAATACAATTGCGATTGCTTCTGTCCAGGTCGGGTCTAGCAGGTTGCCGAAGTGGCTTTGCATCCCGTTGTGTATGTATTGGTCAGACGTAGTGGTGCAGCATGTTTTCAACATTATGTCCCAGCCTTACTTGCTGCATGAGTGTGGTCCTTCCTGCAGGTGGCCCTAGTTCAAAGTCGGCTCTGCCCGTATTCCGTGGTATGAGTCGTTGAGTGATTGGGCTGGTGGTGGGCATAGGGAACTTTGTTCCTGTAGCGATGCATGACGGTAGCAACGGTGTGTGCGGTACTACGCAGGGAGGTTTGGCGCAGGTGAAGTTATTGTCGCTTCTGGTGTCAAGGTGTCTACACATCCATCGCTGAGGATGTGGCTTGTGGGGAAGTTGTAGGAGAATGTGTTGCCGTTCTCGCTGTAGTAGACAGTTCTGTTCAAATTGTGATCAGGGTCGTCTTCCTCGATGTACGCCGTCCAATTTGGAGGACATTGGAGGTCGTGTTTCATGCTCGGTGGTAATGGTACACGTGTGAATTCGTGCTTGTTTTTGTCGTAGTTGGAGTCGGTATCTGCGCCAATCTCGTCTTCGTCGCGCCAAGGATCTCTAATGTCGATGTCTGTCGTTGTTGGTGGTGCTATTGGTGGGTCGTGAGCTGGGTGGTGGTGGAGTTGGTTGTGGAGCTTGACTTCCTTGTGACTTGGAAGCTGCGGTGCGTCTCTGTGCTCTTGATTCGGTGAACGGCAGAGCGTGTGACGGCACGATTGGTCGTAGGTGGCATGTGCAGCATTTGCGAAGCATGTTTTGACAGTCGTATTTGTTTGCTCCGTTTGGTAGTCGGTTCTGTTTGTTCCTGCGTTTGTAGAAGTCGTTGTTTCCATCTTTGTCGGTCGGTATTCCTCTGATCATTGCCGGCCTGTTGTACTGGAATGTGTCTCCCGTCCCAAGGGTCTATCCGGCATGCGAGGAGACGGCCGTGTGGCACGGCTACAATGTGGCCCGGGGATACTTCCCAGCCCGACGGGACCTCCTCGGGGGAGCCGGCGAGATCCGCTGGGCGACGCAGGAAGATCTGGGCTCCCTGGACTACGACAGCGGGGAGGAGAGGCGTGGCGTCGAAGCCGCCCCCGGAGCGGCGCTCGACCTGGAGGAGCGCCTCGAAGAGGATACGGAGGCGTCCCAGGGCCTGAGGAGGACCCCCCGGGCCAGGACAGGAACGGGGGACGCGCGAGGTTGGGGGGCCGACCGCTCGAAGGGCCCGGGCCCTCCGAACTGGGAGCGCACTCTGGGAGACACCCGGCTGCTCCGGAGGGCGAGGGTGCGGGCTCTGCCGGAGGAGAGCGGCGGGGCCCCCGGGCACCCAGGCGCAGGCCCCGCCCCAAGAGGTCCTCCAGGAAGGCCCAGAGAGGCAAAAGCCCGTCGTTTCCCTGGCGCGTCCGAGAGAGGTTGGCGTTTGCTTCGGAAGGGCCATCCGACGGCCCAAGACGGCCCAAGAGGCCCCCAGGATTGCCCCAAGATCGCCCAAGAGGCGGTGGGTTGGGGATATCTCTCCAGCAGGGTCCCCGAGACACAGCAAGCTTTCTGGGAGATGCCCCTCCAATGGTTGGGTCTGGATCTCGACCCAGGGGACCGCGCCCCTGGGGAGTCCTTCGGAGGAGGGAGGTGAGGAGTCGGTGCGGTCGGAGTATCAACACGAACCCCATCTTTTGGATATGGGTGATAACAATAACCCCAGCTTAGGACATGGAAACAAAATTCAAGAGGCCCTCCGGGAAAGCCCGAAAAGGACTAGTTTCTGAAGGATGTTGAAGTTCAGGCACGTTTTGGCTCCCCAGGCGCACGCGGTGTCCCCCTCCTTGCTTCTCCTCCTCTTCCCTCTCCTCCCTCCTCCCCCGCCTCCCTCCTTCCCGTTGAAGGCATGTTGGATGCTTATCTTGGGCCTCTTGAGGGCCTTAGGGGGGCCTCTCAGGAGCATGTTCAACGGCCTTTCGGGGCAAGGGGGGTCGGGGCGCCGTCTTTTCAGGCGCCATGTCCGGTCATACCGAGTCTCCCCGAGGAGGAGAAGATGGGCCATCTCCGAGCCGTCCAAGCTCGGGCCTTCTTTGGGCCCTCCAGGGGTGATATTCGGGTGTATCTCAGAGGTTTCAGGCAGCCGTGAGGCCGTCTTGGAACATATTGGGGATTTCTTGGGGTGCAGCCTATCCGAGGCTATGTGGAGCCGAAAGGTCTCGGAAGCAAGACAAGTACGTAGATGTTCAATTGTTTTAAAGTGGTTCTCGCCTGTCAGAGCCTCGCTGGAAATCTCTTTGGGCCTTCTCTTGGGAGCTTTTGGGCACATCTCGGGACGATGTTGAAGCATTTGGGGGCTCGTTAGGCCGTCTTTGGGTAGGCTTGAGCCGTCTGGAAGCCCAAAAGGGCACCCTACGTGCGTCGAGGGGGGGTCTTCGAAACATAACGAAACCACAACAGTCAACACACAAGTATTCTGACACGCCCAAACGCGCCGCTGGCAGGGTGCCAGACTCATCTTTTTTGGAGTCCTGGAGTTCTGTCCGCTCTCTGATGAGCGGATGGCCCGACGCCTCGCTCTCCGCGCGCGCTCGCCTGCCAGCCTGCCTCGCTCTTCCCGCGCGCCGCCCGCTGCTGCTCCTCCCGGCCTCCCCCTGGCCGCCACGCAGCAGCCGTCTGCGCGGGGGGGGCGGCGTGGCGGCGTGCTGGCCTCCTCGGCAGCACGAGCTCTCAAGGCTGCGCGAAGACCAGACCCCCCCCCGCGCCGTGAGCAGGAGTCACAACGGCGGGCTCTGGCTGATCTGTGGTCTCCGGGGGGCCGCTGCCAAGGCCCCGGGACCGGCCGATGAGAGCTCGGGGCAGAGGACCCGTCCCAGCTGTCCCATGGGGGAGGGTCGAGACCTTCAAGGGCCGCCGTCTTGACAAGGGCCACGATGGCGTGGGTCTTGGCGGAGGGGGGGGGGGGCGCCGCCGCCCCCGCCTCGCCGCTCCGCTGTGGCTCTCTGCCCCTCCTCCCCTCGTCGCAGTGGGGACGAGGGCGAAGGGGGGAGGGGGTCCAGGGAGGAAGAGCCCTGCGAGCTGCGCCCAGCTCGTCGCCGCGGCCGGGCACAGCCCGTGAGCCGGGGAGGGGTTTGCAGGAGAGTCTCGGAGCGGATTTCTGCCCACCACCAGGCCTCCGACGACTCGGCTCCTTCGAGTCGCCGGCCCCCGGAGCTCTCGACTCTCGACCCCTTCCCCTCGACTAGCTTTTCTCGGACGGGAGAAATAGGTACAGACTCAACTGCACGTCGAGTTCCACGAAAACATGGGGAACTCTCGGAGACGGAGGCGGAGCGGAAAGTCCAAGAAATATCTAAGACATGCAATGAGGAATCCTGGAATTTGTGTCGGTGTAGTTATTTCTGTCTCCCTGGGCCCCCCTTATTCTCATCCTGGATCGCTTCTTATCCTTTGGCCCAGAGCCAGCCTCTGGGCTCTGAAGATGCCAGAAAACCTCCGGCCCGATACTTTTGAGGTCGCCAGAGTGCCGCGCGTCTTTGAATTGCACACGGCATCCTTCTCGACGTCTTTCGTGACTCCCAGCGGCACGCCTTTGTGAGTCAGCTCGACGGTCTGGTCGAGGTTTCTACTGGGCTCGTTGCGGAGGCTGGCAAGTGGGCTCCTTCCGCTCATGAGTTCGCCTACGCCAAGCGAAGATTCAAACAGATCCTTCCCCATCCTCCCCCATGTGATCGTTTCTTTATGCATTGTTTTGCCGATCGGCGCGGGCCCTCGCACCCCCCCCTCCTCCCCCAGGGGACGCACGGTTCCAAACAGTCGCACTAAGCAGAGGTCCAGAGGCAGATCCCCCCTCCCCCCCTCCATTTCCGCCCAATGTCAAAAAGCCGAATAAAAAACGCTCACCATCCCTTCTCATCCTTCCTCCTTGTCATCACTCCTCCCTCCTTCTCCTCCCTCCTCCCTCCTGCCACATCTTTCCCCCCTTCCTCCCTCCCGCTCCTCTTCACTCTTTCCCCCCTCCCTCCTCCTCCCTCCTGCCACATCTTTCCCCCCATTCCTCGCTCCCGCTCCTCTTCACTCATCCCCCCCCTCCCCCTCCATGCTCCATCCCCCTCATCCTCCATGCTCCTCGGTCCTTTCTTCTCTGCCTCCCTCCTCCTGCTTCATCTCCCTTGACTGCAGCCCTTCCGTAGATCACCCCACCCCCAGAGGTCCGGGAACGGGTGGGGGGGAGGGCGGCGGCAGGGTAACGGGAGAGGGGGGGGAGGGGAGAATAGACCGACCATTGGCCACTTCGGACGGATTGCAACCATCAGGAACGGACGGTTCACAATTTGATGGACACAGTCAAGAGCGTGGTCGTATTCCAAGCTTCCAAGAGGTCTCCTGAGAGCTTACAAGAGGCCTGTTCAAGAGCTTGCGAGGGGCCTTCGCAGAGTTTCTGAGAGGCTTGTTCCGAAGAGCCTCGGAGAGGCCTCTTTGGAGCGCCCGAGCGGCCTTTCAATTGCACCCAGGGGGCTCCATGCCTCCATTGGCTCCCGAAGTTGCCTCTCCAATGGAAGGAGGGCCTCTCGAACAGGCGGGGGGGCGAACCTCGCTGCCGCCGCCCCACGCAGGAGGAGCAGGACGAGGCGCTGTGATCAGGGGGCCACGTTCAGGGGGGGGGGGGGGCACAGGGGGGGGGGCATCGACCTCGAATGGCTGAATCGTTGCTACATCGCTGATGGCTAATACCTCGAATGGCTGATACCTCGGTTGCCCACGTCCTCCTCCCATCCCTCCCAGGAAGGGATGGGAGGAGGACGCAGGGAAGCTCGTTCGGCCGCAGGGACGCTCATTCTGCTCCGCATCACTCATTGGCATCTTTTGGGCGTGCGCATGTTTCCTCGGCGAGTTGATTCAAGCTGTGCGCGGCCCGCTTAGCTTCGACCGGAAGAGGTGCGCTCTCGACCCGCGAATCAAAAAAGCTTCCTCGGCGAGGACCATCACGGAGCATCGTGGATCATCTGGCGAAAATAAGCGCACGAAGCCGAAACACAAGCTGGTAACGGGCGTCCGAGCGATGGCCAGGGAGGGAGTGGGTGTGCACCACGTAGCGTGTACCACAGAGCTTACACCACACAGCTTGCACCACATTGTTTTCACATCATAGTTAATTCCACGCAGCTCTCAACGACAACACACCAGCAATGTCAAACCAAGAACTCACAGGTTGGGGGTAAACGCTGGCGAATGTATCACCATTCGTTTAGGAGTGGGCCCTCTGATATCCACTGATCTTGCCAATTGCACCGGATGGGTTGGGCATTCCATTGGGCAGTTCTCAACGAGACTGCGACCTCCATCAGTCGTACTGATCACGACCACTGCGCGAGGTCATGGCGGCATTCCCTCGTTCACCCGACGGGCCGCAACCGCTTCTCCATCACTGCATGCGGTCACGTAATGGCGTTCATTTGATCCTTCAGGGGTGGATCGACCTCTTACCCTGACACGTCGATTAGTGAATTGGCCGTTTTCGGCTCGCGAGAGGGCGTCATTTTTTCGCGTCCAGGTCCGTCGGTTTCGGTCCTAGGCCGTTTTTGCCCACCGTATCCTGGGGCCCGCTTTGGGGGGGCTCCATCGCCGTCGCAAAAACGTTTGCTTTTTTAGTCAGCGGCCGCAGGCGAGCGCGCCAGCGGCGAGTCCAGTAGAAGCGGGGCACGCAAACACGAATTAGTCTAAAGCGACGGGGCGCAGCCACACCTAAAGCGGCGGACAGAGCCTCACGCAGCACCTCGGCGGCGAACCGGCGAGTGGCAGGGGCTGGCTGCAAGCTGAAACAGCATTGCCAGGGTGCAGGTATGGCAAAAACGTCTACTTTTTGATCTGCGGCTTCAAGGACGATTCCAGAGAGCGGGTCGTAGCAAGCTTGGGGCGACAAGCAAGAGAATTGCCAGCGGGCCAAAAGCCAACGCACAAAAACGTCTACGCGCAGCGGGGGAAACGCGGACGGAGCGAGCGCCGCAGCCCCACCCGCTCCCTCCGTGTCCGTCGTGGCTCAGGCCCGTGTCGGCCTGTGGGGCCGGCAGGCGCGCCGGCGCGCGCGCGCGCGCGCCGGGGCGCCGCCAGGGCCCCGCGGGCGGAGGACGGCATGGATCTCGGGGGCGGACAGAGCCCCCAACAGTGACACGTCGATGAGTAGATTGTCCGTTTTCGGTTCTCGAGAGGGCGCCGCGGCCGTTATTTTCCAGGCTTGCGCCCGCCAGGTTTGGGCCTCAGGTCGTTCTCATTAAACCACGTTTTACTAAAGGGAGGTCTGTCCATCCCCGGAGATCACGTGGCATCTTCGGGGGGCCTCGCCTGTCCCCCAAACTGGTGTCTTTTTCTGGTGCCCGACCGGGGCTCGGTGCGGGCGCGACGTGGACTTGGCGTGGATTCGACGCGGATTCGACACGGCTGCGACACGGGATCCAACGAGTCCGGCATGGATTCGACACGGATTCGACGCGGATAGGGCCGCGACGGGACAGACAAGGCCCCCCGAGGATGCAACATAAGCATAAGACGAGCTGTTCTTCGATCGGGGACTTGTCCCAGTCAAGGGAGGGAAAACCACCCGGACCGGACAGTCGGCGTTTGCTAAACGGCCCTGGGCGTTTTACCAAACAGCCCTGCCCTGTTTGATTTCTTCTTTGGGCGCGTTTGCTAAACGGCTTCGCGTGTCGTGGTGGTTATTATCGGGGTGGATTGTCTGCCCTCTACCCAGGGCGGCTGGGAAGTTTGTACCCGCTCGTGCCACCGTAGGGGTATCGAACTTCCTGCCGCCCTGGGACCGGCGATCCCCGATCGAGGAACAGTTTATCTACTTGAACGCCTTTGACGGGGCTGGCACCGCCGCGCTACTTTTTGTTGGAGTCCGGCGTTTCCCTGCATGCAGAGAGCGAGAGGGGGCCGCGCTAATGTCCGCCTGCCCAGACTATCCCATCGCGAGCGTTTGCGTGCGTGTTTGTTGCCACCGCAGCGCTGCTGGGTGGTGGTCGGTTGAAGCGTTGCTTGAGCAGTCATGACTTTTTTTTTTTTCTCTCTCTCTCTCTCACTCTCTCTTGGGCCCCTCTTGAACTGCCCTTGAAGCCCTCTTGGGCCGTTTGGGGAGCCTCTTGGGGGCTCACTGTAGCTTCGCTGGCATTTGCCTATGTTGTCCAGGGGGCATTTCTGGAACTTCGTAGAGCCTCATTGGGGGCTCGGAGGACAGTTTATGTCATGCCGTCCTTCGCCCGCGACGGGGGCGCACTCCGAGCGCCTGGCCGACGCCGCATGGCGCCCTCCGCGCCGCCGCGGCAGAAGCCAGGCGCGCCGCTGGTGCGGCCCTCGTCCTCGGGCGCGCTGCAGGGCCGGGCCCCGCCTCCCCGGCGAGGGCCGCAGAAGGCTTGGGCCTGGACGGTGGACGGCGGCGGCGGGGCGCCGTGGCCCTCAGAGGCCGCGGGGCGCCACGAGAGATCCGACGTCACGGAATCGAGTCGTCCAAGACGGGGGCCGAGCGGGCGGGGTCGGAGGTTCGCGCCGCATCGCCGATGCGGCTCGATGTGGAGCCCGACTTTCTCCGCGCCGACATCCCCGAGGCGCCGCCGATGTCGCCGATGCATCGTCGATGCGGCGAGAGCCTCCGACCCCATCGGCTCGGACCCCATCGGGGAAGTCTCCACGAAAGCACCCTGCAGCATCCGCAAACCAAAACCTCGTCTGGGAGCCCTGGACACCGTTTCTTTTCCGCAGCATCTTTCGGGCCGGCTCGATGCGTGAGGGCCCGGGCGGGCTGGAAGGCACGGCAGAGGCGCCCGTTTTGTGAAGAGAGGTTCCGAGACGCCAGGATCTCAGGGCCAGGGCTGGGCCTGCGCGCGGCCGGTGTCGAGGCCGGGCGGCGTCCGGGACATCTCCCGGCTGCGGCGGAACGCAGAGGCGTTGGGCGTTGCGCAATCCGGGGGCGACGTGTGGCGGGGGGGGGGGGGGAGGGGGGAAATGGTGTACTTTGGTGTGCACCTCAGGGGCCCCAGAGGAGCGCCCTCTGGGGCCCGAGAGGGGCGCGGAAGGTGCACCTTGTTTCTTCCCAGGCCCCCAGCGTCGTGATTTTTTCATGACGTGGGCCCCCAGCGGCTTGTCCCGTGGACCTGTTTTTCACCCCGAGTCGGAAAACCGAGAAGGATCTCCGCCCTGATTTGCTCATAACCCGATGGGACAGCATGCTACGCATCTAATGAAGCCAAAGATACAGTAGTGATAGTCGCATCCGTGAGTGGATCAGCCTAGAATGGCAATGATGATGCTGTGCTGCCTCTCTTGGATGTTTGAGCCGGCTATGCTGCCCGCTCGTGCCCACCCCGTCCCGTCGCCAGGGCCTTCGCATCCCCCTGAGAGGGTGGGATGGGGCGACGGGCCGCCTCCCCCAGCACTGCACGTAACGCACCGTGCCGGGTTCGTGGGAATTCGGATGAAGTCCATGAATGTTCCCTCCCCTCCCTCCAATGCCTCCCCATCCTGCCAAGAGTGGCGCGCCTGGTCCTGCAGCCAGAGAGCACGCCGAAGTACCACTCATGGACTTGGCTCCGAGCTAAGGGTGGTCTTCACGATCCTGCTGGCGTGGGAGCAACGAGCCCACGCTCTTCGACGAGAGTCTCCAGGACCATCCACGAAGCCTGCCGAAGGACTCCGGGGATCTCCGAAGGCCCCCGAAAGGCCACCAGGAGCCGAGCAGGACCTCCGGAGCTCTCCGAAGAGGCCGCCAGAGGATACTGAAGGCTCCCTGAAGCCGCCGACGGCCACGAGGGAGCTCCAAAGACCAAGGAAGGCATCCGAAGACCACCAGAGAACGCCTCCGTGGAACTGCGAAGACGGGGGGAGGGGAGGAGGGGAAAAACACTTACACGCCGGTCGTTGAAAGTAGGTATTTTTGGATTCCCAGATCCCATTCTACTTCAAGCGCCTTCCCACTTCAAAAATCGACACGCTTTTGCTGTGTTTTGTTATTCCTTGGGTGGGCCTGGACCCAATCAACTTAATCCGCCTTCCTACTTCGTGTTTTTACCTACTTCTTCCGACCGACGTGTAGCCATGCCAGCCTCATCGGACCGTACGGTGGCATGCCAGCCTCGTGCCTTTAGGGTAGCTTCGCTGATTTGGACGCGCGTACCTTCATCGTATCCTCGGCGTACCTCCGATGATCCGAGCTGAGGGTGGACCTCACGATCCTGAAGACAGGGGTGGGACGAGAGGGAGGGAGGGAGGGAGGGAGGGAGGGAGGGAGGGAGGGAGGGAGGGGGGGACGTGGGGCACCGATGAGCCCGGGGGCGACGGGAGGGAGGGAGGACGACCCAAGCGGAGGAGGGGAAGGAGAAAGGGCCCTTGCGTACCAAAAGCTGGCCGCCCCCCACCTTTGTACGAAGACTCAGCTTTTGCCAGAGCCACATGCCCTCACTAGCCCACGCGTTGAAGACTGCCCCCGGGTGCCCTGAGATCTCGGTCGGGCGGGTCAGGAAAGCACTCAACGCCTCAGAACAAAGGCCCGTCGGAAAGGCGAGCTGCGTGACGCGCGCCACGATGCCGAGAAGGACGGCGCGGTTGGCGATGTCGGAGGGTGAATCTGAAGAAGGGTGCGAAGCCCTCCCTTCCCCCAAGGTGGTGCACCGAGGGGCGGCACTCGACAGGTGCCGTCGACGTTCAGCTAGAGGTCCATGCCCACGAGCTCGAGGGTATCGTCCCGCTCGAGCGGCAACGGGTACCGTTCCCAAGCACGTTGCGCCAGATGAGCCGATAATTGCTGGATGTCCCTGGCTCTTGGGGAGGACAAGCCCTTCCAGAGACGCAAGCCGTCGTCCTTTTGTCGCTCCTCTCGGCCCCAGACCGGCTTGCCAAGGACCTTGGCCTCGTTTTCGCGGCCCCTGCTCTCCCCAGGGGTCGACTACACGTAAGAGTGACCTTTCGCCTGTGTGACCTTTGGTGCGGGTCCAATGGGGTTCTCTGACCGCCGAGCGCGATGCGGTGCTAGCGTCTTGCGCGCTCGTGTTTGGTTACCCCGCGGCCCCCAAACAACCGCGCGCCAAAGGTCGCCCCTTGACCAGGCTCACTCTTGCGTGTAGCCGAAGGGGGCAGGGGAGGCCCGGGCCGTGCGGGGCTCATCGCCCCTCCACTGAGCAGCGCCCCAAGGCGTGGCGGGGCGGCGGCCCTGCGGGCGAGGCGGCAGAGGCCAAGGGCGCTGCCCCAGCGCGGCAAGCGCCCGGCGCCCGCAGCCCGAGCCCGGCGGGAGGGGAGCAGCCCTCGGAGGGGAGGCGGTCGCTGGCCGCCGCCGTCGGGATGCCGCGCTCCCAGCTCGAGCCCGCGCCGCTGCTCCTGCTGGCGGCGAAGGGGGAGATCGTGGGCAAAAAAAGTGCGTCCGTGCCCTGAGATTTTGGCGTCGCATGGTTTTCGCGCTGGGCGTTTTCGCTTGAGTTCAGGCCGCTGGGGCCCTCACAGATCCAGGTCGATCCGGGCTCGAAACATGGCGCAGGACGATGGGGCACGGGGCGCAGAAAGATGGGGTTCAGGGCGAAAGGCATGTTGTGGATGGCGTATTTATCAAGCGGGGTTGATTGAACTTCAACGGAGACTGCCCATCCCCCCCCCGACCCCTTCCTCCTCCTCCTCCTCCTCCTCCTCCTCCTCCTCCTCCTCCTCCTCCTCCTCCTCCTCCTCCTCCTCCACCCGTTCCGATGGCACGCGCCCAACCGCCCCCGCGGATCGAGGGGGGGTGGATTATCATCCTATCCAGAGTAACCGTCTCTGCGGCCTGGCGGACCAGACCCTTGGGCCGCGACCCCAGGGATACGGCTTGTTTTTGTCGCGGGTGCCTCGCTCGGGGCTCATCTGTGCGACCGCGTATCCGCGGGATCGCACCCCCCCAGGGTCCAGACCGCGGCGGCGTGGATATGGATGCGCTCGCCGCTTCTTGTCACGCGAGGAGACGAGGCCGTGGACGGGGGTCTCCTCGCTGCCGCGGGTGTCGTCCACGCCGCTGCTCGCCTGCGACAGGGGCCAGCATCAGTCCGCTCCGCACTCTCCTGCCAGCAGCTCGCCCCACGCGACCGCCAGGCCGGCGTCCCAGAGCCTGCTCCGGCGGGCGAGCCGGCGCTCCGAGGCGGGGGGGTCTCCGGCAGGCCCGCTCTTCCCGCGCCAGGAGCCGCCCGACGAGAAGCTCTCCGGCGGGCGGCCGGTGCGGGCGGCGGCGCGCAGCCCCCAGCCCAGCGCAGACCCGGACCCGCACGTGCAGGCGATGAAGGAGATCTGCCGGCTCCGGCGCGAGATGATGATCCCGCTGGAGAGCATGCAGGCCGCGATGCGACTGTTCAGGGAGCACGCGACAGTGCCGGCAGAGGGCGTTCTCTTCACGGATGGGGCCCTGACGAAGGCGAACCTCGCGAGTATCATGAGGAAGTTGGCGGGGTCCGACAATGCGGATATCGAGAGCCGTTGGGTCGACAGCGCCTTCAAGCTGGCGGATAAGGATCGCGATGGCTCCATCAGTTTCGAGGAATTCGCGCTCTGGTTTTCGAGCCGCAGTTTCGACGAGGATCTCAATCTAGACGGCCAGGAGCTGGAGCTGCGCAAGCTGTCCCGAGAGCTCGACCTACCCTCGTCCGTCGTTGAAAAATATAAGAGCCACTTCGACGCGTTCGACACCGACGGAAGCGGCACAATGTGCAGGGATGAGTTCTACGAGATGATGTTGAAGTGCCTCAAGATCCCGCGGCACATCGGCCTCCCCGCGGCCCGGCTGCAGCAGCTCTGGTGCGCCGCGGACGCTGACGACGACGGCGAGATCAGTTTTACCGAGTTCGTCGCGTTCTTCTCCAAGTACTTCCCGCAGGGCGGGGCCAGCGGCATGGACCAGTACTACTGCCACAACCGGCCGCTGAACGTCTTGCACGGGACTTACAGGGCCTGAGAAGGTGCTGAACTCGGCCTCGCGTCGGGCCAGCTGCCGAGGGAGGCGAGCTGAAGCTCACAAGGGACGCTGACCTCTATCGCCACAGGGCCTTCCCTTCTCGGCGCCTTGAGACCGTCTTCTTCAGAGGCTTCTGAACTGCACCTAAACATCAGCCCAGCCAGTGGTTCAGTGTGCCATCAGCTGTTATGGCGCAGAGCGGCGCGAAGGGGCGTCGAGACGCCGCAGATGTTGAACACCCGCCGGCAACCAAAATTCATATCAAACAAGAAGTATTGATGTTGTCTCCTAGGCAGAAATATTTGTATGACTGCCAAGTCCGTGGCTGTCGCCGAACCGGGAACGGGCAGCCTGGCCTTCTCGCAATCGGTGGCGGTATTCTTGTGAAAGAGTCTCGAGGACCCTCTCTGGAAGATCAAGTAGATAGCGGGGGCCTGCCTTGGTCTGAGGAGCGGCAGCTGTCCTAGCTATCCCATCGTTTTTGTTAGACGAAGCGCCGAGAGAGCAGCAGGCGCGTGCCCCAGGATTTTGAAGGCCTACGCGGTGACTCGAACCCCGCGTACTCTCGTTGTCATTCGGCCTCGCCAGCGTAGCCCACGAAAGCAGTGTCTGGCCCCTTGTGTGTGTGAGATTACAAGGATGTCACCGAGATGCCGAAACCTGTGCAACATAGTGTGTGTGTGTGTGCGTGTGTGTGTTCAATGATTTTGGCTTTGAGCGAACAGGGGGGTCCTCAATCGGCCGCGCCCCCCTGGAGTTCAAATACGCGCCACCTGGGATCATGCCGGGTGCTCATGGGGCTGTCTCGGGGCTCTCTTGGGCCCCTCTTGGAGCTCTCGTGGGTCATCTTAGAGCCATCTTGAGGCCTCGGTAGCTCGCCGGAAGCGAAAAGGCGAGCATGCAAGATGCATGGGCTCCATTTAGCTTGTTCAAGGGTTTGGCCTCTCGATGGTATTCGTGGGAAGCTCCTCTGGCCACTTGCAGTCGCATTGGATGCTTTTGGAGCTTCTTGGAGGCATCGCGGAGTTCATCTTGAGGTATCTTCGATTGTGTTATGTATGCCATCTTGGAGGTCGCCTTGAGCTCTCCGCGGCCGTCTGGGAGCGATCTTGGGCCATATTGCACGCTCTCCCTGGTCGCGAACCCCGAGGTCCAGACCCCGAGGGACGGGGCCGGGGAGGTGCAAACCCCTCCCCGAGGGGGAAAACATGGGAGTGGAAGAGGAGACGCGCTAGACCGCATCCGCCCAGAGGGCTGGCGGGAGTTTCTGGAGGGCCCTAGGCCCTCCCTAGAGCGGACGGGGCCGCCCCATGCCCAGGCCGCCTCTTTGCCAACAGCGCCCCGCCCCGCGGGCGCTCCGCCACGTGCCCCTTTTTCCTTGGCTTCGGCGGCGCGCCCGGGGGGGAGGGGGGACGCGGGAGGGGGGGGGCGGGCCTCCTCGGGAGGCGGCGGGGCCAGGGCGGTGGCAGCCACGGAGGCGTCCCGGCAGAGGCCAGGGCCGCTCGATGCATTCCGGCGGACCGACGCGCCCTGGCGCGCCTCGGCCCGGAGGGCGTCTCGGGAGGCCGGAGGCCTTCTGCGAAGCCCTCCGAGGAGGCCCCGCCCCCCCTCCCCCCTCCGCCGCCCCCCCCCCCTGCGGGTGCGCCACCGACGCCTGCTCCGAGCACGCGGCACGGCGGGGCACGGGCCCAGGTTTCTTCGGTGCACGAAATTCGGCTGCGCCGCCGCGCACGGCCGCCGCCGCAGTGTGCGTGCGGGGGGGGGGGGCGGAGCCGCCGCTCCAGGCCGAAGGGGTGAGGACGAGGGGCGGCTGGGGTGGGTGGAGGCAGGAAGATGTGCAGGACAGGGGCAGGAGAGGAGGAGGAGAGGCGGGGGCATAGGTGGAGGGGGGGGGGCAGGAGGGCCAGGAGGAAAGAGGGAGGCGAGGGAGGGGTGAGAGGAGAGGAGCGGCCCTGGCGCGGCAGCGTCGGATTCTGGGGTGACGATCAGTGGGATGTCGCGAGCCTGGCGTTCCCGTGCAAGGCGCAGGCACGATGGCGGATCTCGCTAGCTTCAGTCCACATCTAGTTGTATTCACTGGTCTTATCTCTGCCCTCCTCACGCCCTTCCCCTTCCTCACCTTCTCCTGCCTCCCCTCGGGGCGAAGGAATCTGCAGTGATGCGAGGGGGAGGAGGAGGAGGAGGAGGAGGAGGAGGAGGAGGAGGAGGAGGAGGAGGAGGAGGAGGAGCTAGCGCAATTAGGCAGGGAAGAGGACGGCAGGAAGAAAAGGCATGCATGGAGGCAGGAGGAGGAGGAGGAGGAGGAGGAGGAGGAGGAGGAGGGAGAAACGAACAGGAAGGATGGAGGGAAAAGGAGGAAGGTAAAAGAAGAGGGAATAAGGAGGGAGGGAGATGGAGGCACCCATTGAGAGCATTCATAATGGAACTTCTCGTTTGGTTCCGTTCGACCTGTTTTGTCTTCGAGTGTTCCGGGGTCGCCTGGCCAGTGCCGTGGAGCATTGTTGCGGTATAAACGTCGGGGGCGGCCATGAGGGGGGTGATGACTAGGTGGGGGCGGGTATCATGGCGGGGGCCATGATCCTTCCCCAGATCTCACGACGCGTCTTCTTATTTCATTGCATCATTGGCCCCCCCCCCTGGGCCGCGCACATGCCGCCGGCCATTATTTGCGCCCCACCACTTGGACGCCCCCCTCTTGGCCGCCCCCGAGAACGGATGCTGCCCGAGGGGCCCGCGCGTCGAGACATGGGCAACATGCTGAGGTGGTTCGGCCCGCTTCGCATGAGACATCGTACATCGTCGCAAGTCTGCGTTCCGAGACGACCAGATTTGACATGGTTGGGCCCGTTTCGCTTGAAAGATTCTCGCAGCTCTGGGCCCCCAGACGCTACGCGAGAGGTGGTCCGTCCCATATCGCTTGAGACATCCTCAAAACCTCTGGGTTACCGTGACCTGAGGCTGGCTCGTCCGTTTCGCTTTAGACATCGACGCTACGCTAGGCTTGAATATGCCGCCTGCGAGGCGATCTGTTCAGTTTGGCCTGAGACGTCCCCGCAATTCTGCGCAAAGAGGTGCCGCGTGCGAGGGGGTCCAGCCAGTTTCGCGTGAGCTGCACCCGCACTTCCGAGCAACCGTTGAGGAATGCGAAGCGAAGGAGGAGTGAGAGAAGGAGGAGGAGAATGTGCAGGATGACTGATGACGAGGTGGAGGAAGGATCATGCTTGTATCGCTGTCAGACAAGTACTCTTGCTTTCAATGCTCTCCGGATACTTCTGGTCGCCAGGGCTGGCCGCTCTATCGTGCCTGGTGATGCGGGCTGGTGCTCTGCTGACGAAGGTTTTGTCACAGGCCCGTTCGCGCCAAGATTGTGGGGATGTCTTGAACGGTTAGTTTGTTTTACGGGGTGGAGGTGTGTTTCGGAGCCGTATGGTCCTCGCTGACCATCCAGGGCTTGCTGTTGAGGACCCCATCCAGGGCTTGCCTTGGCTGGCCGGTGGGCAGTGCACCTGAGCACGGGTGCCCAGGTCGCCGGGAACAGCTCCGGGCGACCCCAGCAGCCCCAACGGCGGTGCCAGGGAGGTGCTGGGGAGCAGTTGCCCTCGAAACAGCTGGGTGCGCCCCAAGGCCCATAGAGAGCCATCCTCGGAACCGTGGTCTCCGAGATGCCTTGACCTGACGCGGTCTGGCTCGTTTCGTTTTAGACGTCCTCACAATTCTGGATTCAAAGATGTGGTTCGCGAGGTACTCAGGCCCGTTTTGGCTGAGACACCCACAGAACCCGAGACTTGGAGACGCCCTCAAGTGAGGTGCTCTGGCCCGTTTCGCTTGAGATGTTTTCACAGCTCTGGGTTCCAAGACGTGGTCCGCGATGTGCTCAGGCCCGTTTCGACTGAGACATCATCGCAACCCCTGGCTTCGAGACGCCCTGACTTGTGGTGCTCTGGCCCGTTTCGCTTGAGACGTTCTCACAACTCTGGATTCCAAGATGTTGTTCGCGAGGTACTCAAGCACTTTTCGCCTGAGACATTGTTGGAATCCCTGGCTCTGACCGTTAAGCCTGAGACGTCCTCGCACCCTTGGGTTGAAGATGTGGTTCACGAGGTGCTCAGGCGCGTTTCGCTTGAGACATCCTCGGAACGGATGGGGTCTACAGCACCGCCGAAATTGTGCGCAAGCCGTCGAGAACCCCTTGCTCCCCCTACTCCTCTTCCCCCCATCGACCTCCGACGTCCCGAAATTCTGGAGTCGCCTCAACAATTAAACACTACGAATACTACTCTTCTCTCTCCCCTGGTTGCGTCCGGGGATTGTTCGGCCCCCCTCCGCGCACTGGTTTCTTACACAGGATTCCTCGGAGTTGGGTTTTCGCTTGGGTTTGTTGTCAAAATGCCGCTCTCGCTGAAGCGCTGGCCCAATTTGTTTGGCTACCGGTCGTTCCGAATCGTGCTCCCGCTGCAGTGCTGGCCTCGTTTCCGCGCTTCCGCTCGTTCCGAATCGTGCTCCCACCGTAGCGCTGGCGTTATCATTTCCAACGACATGCCACGGCATGGTTTTCGGTCCGTCCAAATAGGCCCCAACATCTAGAAATTGGCCCCCCAGACAAGAAAACATCGGAAGTGATTCTTGGGCTTACGCCGCACCGCCGACCCCTTGGGGGGCTCCTGGTAGGTCTCTCGGGGGCCTCTTTTGGGCCTCCTGGTGGGCCTCTTGGAGCCTCTTGGGGGCTTCTTGGGGGCCTCTTAGGGCCTCCTGGAGGCTTCTTGGGGCCGCGGGCTCGAAATGTCCGTTCGGGTCCCCCGCCTGGGCCCCCTCCTGGAGCCGCCTTGGGGGCCTCTTGGGCCGTCTTGGGGTCCTCTTGTGCCGTCTTGGAGCCTTCTTGGGGGCTTCCTGGACCGTTTTGGGGCGATCTTGGAGGCCTCTTGGGCCGTTTTGGACGTTGTGAAAGCCCAAGAGGCGAATGCACTAAAATCATACGTTTCCCTATGGGAATGGGACGATTC